TTTTCGTATATGTGATTGATTTTACGATGTAAAGATATAAATGAGATATAATATGTGCTGTTTTATTTAAAAAGCTTTAAAATATCAAAAACAATAGAAGATTTTTACTCACTTTAATTTTTTATACTTAGGTAGGGTCTTGGGCTTCCATTTGACCATGATAAAGTTCACATTTCCTCTTAAATAACATGGAATAAATATTTTAACACAGAAATGAATTGATCGGCCTATAGCGTGAGTTTCAGCAGATCATACACTATATGCTTTAAAGAGAAGAAAAATGGGGTTTCATGCAAAATGTATGTCCAAATTAAAATAAACATGTACATCACCGTTCATTGATTCATTCGATTAAATGGTCACTGTGTGCGTATATTTTGTTATTCTGTCTATGTACACTGTACACTGCTAAGAGAAAAACCTCTTGAAGCGTAACACCTTATAAATGGAACAGTTTTTAAAGTCACATTTCAGTCCATTTATTTTACCCTCTGATTCCAAGGTATGAAAACTTAACACCTTGGCATCCAAAATGATTGTCGAATTGTAATGCAAGAATTGAATAAATCATAAATGAAAATGTATGTCACTGTATCACCCATTGTTATGATTGTGGTTGTTATGGACATGGGGTCTCATAATAAACTTATTAAATCTGAATTGTACACTTTCTATTTCACTGGGGAGTTAAATCATTCTTTTGCAGCAAGGTATCAATAAGTTATAGAAAAATGTAATGACCTTCAGTAGATGCCAGTAGTCAGTTCCCAGTTTCACCACGAGGTGGCTAACTTGGGTCATATGTAAATGATAGGTATAGGGGAAAGCTGCTCTATAGTTCAATATTCAGAAGATTTATTGATCAATTTTCAACTAAGGTGTATAGGTGATTAGCTTGAAAATGTTAGAATTGTATGTAATCGAATGCAAAATAAACGCCCAGTGGGCGTTTTTAGAGAAACAAAGTGAAATAAATACTATGCTATTCTAGACAGCGTTATGTGGATGGGCTGAGGAAAAGTTCCAGTTTAGGCTTTGGTCATATGTACATTAAAGATTTGTTTGATTTATAATTAAAACCAAATCTTTACTTGTCAAGCTCATAGTTCTTGTAATCATTCTAAATTTGCCTCTATTTTCCAGATGCTATTTTCAATAATCTTTCTCATCTTCATCATTTCATCTTCATGGTGTTCTATAAGGTGATTTATAATGTTTTGAAATTTAACAGTTCGTAGTGAAGGACAATAGAAACATGTAAATCCAACCACTCTGAAATGCAAAGAACATATCATTAGAATCCACATGGTAAAATCACTCACTTGGCTGATCATAATTTTTTTTATAACATCCCCCTAACTCGATACCGAAGGGGAGTTGGAACGTCGGATATGCATGTAATGTTAAGTTTTATGTATATTAACCATAGATGATATTGGTTTTGTGGTTTTGGCAATCTAAAAACAGAAAATTTTGTGAAAAATACATTTTTGTTCGACGGGTTTTTGATTTTGTTTCTTTTATCAACTCAGTTCAGGTATTTCGGTTGATTTAATCACTGAATCCTGTTACCAAATGAATCTTGAGTCTCTTATACAGCATATGGAGTACCATCTGTAGGTAAAATGACTTTAAACTGGTAAAGAGAAGACAAACAAACATACCTTTCCTCCGACATTTTGGATTTTGCGCATCTTGTCGAGTCTTTGATCACCCACTTTTAATACTAGGCGATCTCTGTACATACAGTGTTATTATAAATTGCGATAAAACCGCCCAAAAAACGGCCCAACCAATAACTCAAAATATGTAGGTAACATCAAAGAAAATGTTAATTAATGCAATAACTGTTAAATAATAGCTACTTTTTTTGTTTTTTGGTTTTGTTTGATTTGGGTTTAAAATCTCAAAGCACAAATATAGAAGTCCATGGCAATATAATTGTAATAATTATATAGCATCATCTCATCATATAACATCATCGTCAATACATAGGAAACACACTGAATGGTTCAAAATTTTCCAATGAAATGTTCTTTGTTAGATTGTAAAATTCAGACATTTTATTTCTACTGAGGGCATCTGATATAGAATTCCTAGAGCCCTCTATATGAACAGCTCGACTGTCTATCTGATTTCTGGCACAAACAAAGAAAAGTGCTCTCACTAGTGCCATGAAATGTTTATTTTTACTTGTACCATTGTTCACAATATGAACAACTGCTAAATTGTCACAATGCATCAGCACTTTCTTTGTGGTTAAAAATTGTCCCCAGGTAGCTATAGCAACTACCAGTGCATAAAGTTCCTTCCATGTGATATGCTGATCAGATTCGGATATGCTAAATGATCCGTTTAGCCATCGTCCGTTGAAGTACGCTCCATAATGATGTTTTGAAGCATCTGTGTACAGCTTCATATCTATGTTAGAAGACCAGTCATCCTCATAGAACAATGTTATGCCATTCCAAGTGGGTAAATATGATATCCACCATTCAATGTCTGATCTAAACATTGCTGTGATCTTGATTTTATGATGGAGAAATTATGCTTTTGTTGAGGTGTCAATCATCCTACGCAAGAATGTTTTTCCACTTAGAACCACACGACATACAAAGGTTAACTTTCCTATCAATGAGAGCATATCACGCTTTGTCCTTTTTGATGCATAACGCCATTCCTTCAACAATGATAGAATATCAGCTAGTCTTTCATCAGAAATTCTGATTTCCATTTTCACTGAATCAATTATCATTCCTAAAAATTCTAGAGTGGTGCTAGGTATCGTCACTTTGCTCGGAGTCACAGTGAAATGTATCTTATTACACGTGTCCATCATTATATCCAAGTTATTCTGACACTCATTTGTGTCTGCGGGACCACAAGTAAAGTAATCATCCATGTAATGCTCGCTAACTGTAACACCATTTTGTAACATAATGTGCTCCAAGGCATCAGCATATTGACAGAATATTTTTGGAGAACTCCTTAAGCCAAATGGCAGTACTTGGTCTACCATATACACTGTGACATAATTCCCATCATCATTTCTTATTTCATAAGTGCTACCCAACAGTTCCCAATCATCTCTATGTACAATTATATGCTTAAACGCATCTTCTAGGTCAGCTTTTGCCATCAAGCATCTGCTGCCACAAGATTTGACATGTGAAATCGCATCCCATATATCCATGTATTGACACATATATTCCTCCTTTGAGATAAAGTCATTGATCGACCCTCCTGGGGGCCATGATAGATCATGAATAACACGACATTTCGACGAGCGCCTTTTTAAGAATGCGCCCATGGGTGACCCCACAAAGTTTTCAAACGACTTTGATAAAAATGGTCCAGCTTTTCTTCCTTTGAGAAGATCTTTTATGATACTTTTTTCTACTGCAGTTTGGTGTATTTTTGTTGATCTCCAATTCTGATGTATTCTAGAAGAACGTGGTCCATTATATCCTATTCGTACTCCATGTTCTGCGTCATAGACTAATTTTTGAACAAGATCTTGATTGGGATGCGATTTAAGTCCCTCTTTGAGGGCGTCAACGTTAAGTGGCCTTAGCTGGTGAATCAGTGGCGGATTTTTTGGATCGACGGGGATTGCATTCGCAAGTGATAAAGGGGGATGTTGATCCACACTGCTTGCAAATGTGTTTTCTCCTGCATTTGTCGCCAAATTTACATTCTGAGAATTGATATTTCCAGCATGTGCCTGCATCAATGTTTCGAGCCTGCATTGCTTTAGTCGTTTTTTCATTCTCAGTCTTTTCCATCGTGTTTGTCGCTTGAAAAGTACAGGCTGCTACCTGGTGGTCATTTCGGCCACAGCGGAAACAACGTCCTGATGTTTTTGTGGCAGCTGCATCTAGTGTTGTTGTATATAGAAATGTATCAATGCTGCTAAATGCATATGATTTCATGTCCCCTAGTTTCATTCTGAATTTGTTGTCACAGAGAGAAACCGCAGTCCATGTATATTACCTATCACACTCCTGTATATGTGCCCTATATGCACTTAACTCATTGTACTTTGAAGGGTATTTTCCCATGACTACCATTTCGTATATATTCCATGCTTGCATCCATTGCATTATGTTTTCAATAGTATTTTGTTTCTTGTCTTTCTTCACTTTGATTTCTCCACTTTCATTCACTATAATCTGGTCAGTGTTTTTGTTTATATTCTGATTATACAGGTTGCTGGGTAACAGGTCAACAAGGTTCAGATATTCACCTGTTTCTATGGCTTTTCTGATCTTGTTTGAAACTCCAACTGGGCTGCTATTGAACTGAGCTCTAGTATTCAATAGCATTGTATCTGAGGATTGTTCCGCTTGAGTGGAAAGCTGCTGTTGACTTATTGTACTGTGAGTAGGTTGCCCAGTGTTAGACTGCCCAGGTAGATGATGCTCCATTGGTTTTATATGTGACCGTTGTCCTATATTAGCCTGCTGTGTTTTCAATTCTTGTACAGTTATATATAAATCCTTGTATGTTGATGAAAGTGTATCATTATCCTGTTTTACTTGTGTGATGATTTGGTTTACACATGATACCTGGCGTCCCAGTTCTTGTATTGCCAATATTATTCCTTTATTTTCTATGGTTGTCTGACCAGTTGAACAACTACCTAGTTTCTGAGAATCTTCATCTGTATTATTATCCATAGAATTGGTACATTTTTTACCACATGGTCCAATATGTCCTTTTACTGGATTTTTGCAAGTTGTGCAAAATCTCATGACTGCACCACCTTCATCCTGAGATTGTTCATCAGAATCACTCATTGTTTATGGTTGTAACTATAATATGTCCTAAATTTTTAAAATACTAGATCAGTTCTTAGCTCAATTCACTTATATGTGTTCACCTTTCAAAAACTTTGTTCAACTGGCAATGATTCAACAGAAATTGATTAGAATTTAAAAACATAGATGGCATTACAGTCATTCCTCCCATTAAAAACCATTTACACATATAAATAATCAATGAATCTCAGGAAGTGCATGGCTTATGGTCCTGAAATTTTATATGTGTTTGTGAGAAGGGTGATACTATATCTGTATCAAATTTCATGTAAAAATGATAAAATCTCTTCTCTTGAGAAGCTTTCGTGCAAAATGTTTTCGAACCACCCTAATACATTCTTAATACAGGTATTTGAAATTAAATGCAATAATAATTTATAGACAATTTGTGTTTTATATTCGTCAATTCATGGACTTCAAAGCAATATATTATATTCTCTTTTAGTTCGAGACCGGGACATAGGTGGCATTGGCGGTGGCGTTGGCAGAGTCGGTGACGTTGCCGGTCAACCACCATCTAAAAACCCGACATATGACAGAGCTGGTGAGTTAAGTAACACCCCCTTCTTGATTTTACGTAAGGATTAGTGTGAATATATATAGTTTTTCTTAAATATGCTCTAAGTAAGGAAATCAGCATTTGATAATTATGTAACAGTAAAAATGTAAGTTCATCAAATCTAAAAATAAGGACCTCAGTGTCATATTTTAGATGCCAAACGCTTGTATATTTTGATTGCATGTGGTTTGGCTAAAAATGTATTCCCCCTGCGCTTCTCTAACATGTAAAAATCGAAATAATATGCCATAGATTTACAACAGTAAAATAAAGAATGTAGAAACGTTTTTTCATTTTTCATATAATAAAGCACTATCGTGCATGTTCCCGATATCACTTTCCAGTGGTCAAAACCTAAACAATAACAACTACTTGTATGTAAAATACATGTACACGCAAATAATCTATTTGAATTGAAAATAGCTATTGGAACGTTACTGATGATTATACAGTACACATTATAATTTGACCTAACTGCTGGTTATCATCACATTTTTGGTGAGAATCAAAACCATTTTTCTCAAAGCTTCATGGATTCGACAAGGTCTTTGTTGTTGTTTTTAAACAACTGAGTAATATCTAACTAGGGGAAAATAATTTCAGCCGTAGCCACAGTTAGTCAAGGGAGATCAGCAAGTTCTCCTTTATTGATAGTTGACTCCTAAAGGTGACAGTCCCTACCTCAAAATGTACGTAAGATTATGCAGGAAATCCCCCAAAATATCCTTACAGATTCGTTGAATTTTCGACCAGAAATCAGCTTCCCCTCTCTATTCATTTTTTGTAACAATGAGTAAAGGTGGGACCTTCCGTCAAAAAAGCAATCGAGGCTTGTTCCGTCAATCCTTTGAGCAATAATGAGAGAATATACAATAATGAACAATGGAGAAAATGTTGTGTACAAATATGAAAAGGTGTCCCTATGTAGATGTTCCTTTAATTGCAAAAAAGAAAGGTAAGACTATTTTCTTGAGACACATGGCTTGTAATCTCAAATTTCTCCTTCTAAGTCTTTGAAAGACACTTTAAATAAAAGGATACTATGGAACTAATAGAACACCTCATTAGTATCATGGGATATCCACGATTTTCCAAAACTACTTAGAATTAGAAATTTGAAATAAGAACATGATATCAAATTGTCAACCTTGCCTTGTTTACTTAATAGTCGAAGAATTATCTTTACTTTGATCACAGCTAAATCAGAGGCTTTGAGCTCAAGTGAACCCGAGCCAAAAGGGATCAGCAGTGCCTTACATTCAGGATGTTTCATCATGTATACACTCACCTCAAAAGGCATCTATTCAGGGACAGATGCGTTATTCTCCTTTCAATTTTGGAGATCGAGGTTTTGGTCTTGGGAGATTTCTCCTTGGAAGCCTGGGAATAACGCAGGCGATGACAGAGAAGAGGGGCAGTAAGTACTGTAAACATGTGCAAAACTCAAGCAACTAATCTCTTTCTTAGTTTACAAAACAATACTTGACAAGAAACTTTAGACTGATCTAATTAGCTAAGGATCTAAAGTAGCATTTTTCAAAATACTTCGATTGCCTCTGGAGTAACTATTTGATTCACGTCAATACGTAAAAATACTCGCACATTGGCGATGTCGATGCTGGTGCATATGTTGATTTGTTTTACACGTATAGTTGTGTTGTTAAATTGTTCTGATACATTAGACAAGACATAAGACAATAAGCTTTCAGTTCACCTACGTAAAGCAATGCGTAAAAAGCAACAAAACAGAGCCATAGATTCAAACATGTTTGACTAGGACAACATAACACTAGGACAACTTCATGTCACAAATCTAGCATGGTCTGCGATATTGTCAGCAACAAGTTAAACATGGAGGTATTGGGACATTCTCCATATTCGGCAGATGATGCTCCCCTTTGTTGTGTTTGGACTTTAGACCAACCCTAAAGAGGGATCCGAGTGTCTCATATTTTAGAACATTTTTTGAAATCAAGAATGCTTTCGACACCTGAGTAGGACTGTGAAATGTGAACAAATAGTGTCGGGATAGATACCAGAATGTATTAATGCAGTGTTTTAATGCAGAAGGACATTATTTTGAGTATCTTCATTGAACTTTATCCCAAATAGGATTTCACAGTTTGATTTAGTTTTTAAGATTTTTAATACAAGTTATGACGTCTATATGAGTTCAAGTGCTGGACCAAGTGCCTTTACCATGGGGTAGTAAAAGTGTGATTATAGAATTTTCTTTTGATCAATCATTCTGAAAAGTCCCTGCTGTATAGGCATTTAAATTTTGTACACAATCAGGTGATTTCATTTGCTTAAGAAAAAAATACAGCATTTTTATCAGAACTTCTGGATCGGCCTTTGTATTGGCAATATATACTAGAATCGAGGTTTTTGTAACGATTTTAAACAATAAACCTAAATTACTATCGATTCAATTATTCCATTCAATTATTTTCAATTCGGACATTTTAATATTTTGAACGTTATTAGTAGTGAAACTGACGTCACATATTGAAGTTGGTTGGTGTTAAATATTTTGATTGATCGCCTTCGAATATTTCAATGGATATGCTGTCTAGGTATTACTGTAAACACAGGCAGATATGCCGAGTACTAAAATAGTACTTATGGCGTGAATCGCTCTTTGAGTACTTATTTCAGTAAATATTAGTAATAAATGAGCACTTACATACATATTCAGGATCCATCTCATGCGTGATGAAATAGCACTCATTTCATTGATTTATCATTTCTAAATGAGCACTCATACTGTGAGGACTAATTAAGTGCATGTTTAGTACGAATGAGTGGTGAAATAGCACTATCAAATTGTTGTTATGGACTTTTAGATTGAAAATAGAAACACATTGTCGAAATATTTTTTGACTGAAAAAGCATTATTGATTTCTTAATTTTACAGCTTTGTGATGAAAGGGTTAATATCTAATTCTGCATTCTTAAAGCTGACACTAACTCTCCAACGGTAGTTTGACATCTTAGTGAAGATGAGGTCATTTATATGACCCTAGTTTGCTCTGCTATATGTCATGAAGCCCCTCCCTAAATGGTGATTGCTCTAGCTATTTCTGTAAGGTCCCTGTGCTACTGAAGCCCGTACATGCTGTTTTAATATGAATCAAATATAAATCTGCCTACAACTTTTATTAGGCCAAATCAATATCACACTCGATTTCTTTTAAACAAATGTAGTAAATCTAGATGGAAGACATGCCTTATACTCAATACTTCAAAAATATTTAAATTGTCTATCAATTGGAAACAATATCCATTGATTCTGTCGAAGAGTAAACATGTTACACCATAACTGTCATATATCTGGTTACTTTAATAAGCTGTGGTTTTCAGTATGGGGGTAAAACTGAGGATATTTAACTGTTTCGATCATTTGTTTTAAAGGTGTTACATCTTAAAACAAAATGGATGAACTAAATGGAGACCTTTGATGTCGCAACTGATTCACTTTTCAGTAACCAGGGATTACTATTAACACACCGCTTAATTATCTTGATGCAAATCGACCTCCTTCTTGGTGAAATTGATGAAAAAAATTCCCCCTATGGAAGCTCATTTATATTATTATAAAGACTCGAGGCCTTGAGAAAAAGGAATCGAAACAGGCTAGCGATTTTGACGCTTTTGCAGATGAATGTTGACCCATCGACATGCTTATGAACTTCGAAATTGGATATTTTTGGTCCACATCATTTGAGACCGAACGCCATTTTTATGAGTACTAGATTCTTCGATTATTTTTGTTGCTATGAAAAATTGTTATAAAATTTGAACTAATTCTTTAACATGTATTGTAATGGCTTCAGCAAATATGACATATCCCTTATAGTCAAGGTCTTGGATTGTGATATTTAATACTTCGTTGGGAATGGGTTATTAGACAGTTTCTTCTCACGTTGGATTATGATTCAGAATAATTGGGGTTTGTTGGAGTACAACAGAGTATGGCTGTTGCACTAAAAAACAAAAAAAAACAGTTGTATAAAATATATATGAATAATTTTCGCATTGAATTGTTGTCAATCAGTCAACATCACATAAAGGACATTGTTTTTTACAGAAATTTCAATAATAGGTTTAAGAGAAAAACATTGTTGAATTCAGTTCATCATATCGATACCTATCCTTAAACAGTATTTTAGGCACAACATATATAACTAAGATATTAATATGTTTCATATATGAAAAGATGATCAAGGATATTGATTAAGTTGAAAAACTAAATATTACAAAATGGTGTTGAAAAAATGGCAGCCGTTGCACGCCATTTTACGATTTCTGCTGAAACTGGTAAAGAAGTGGAGTGATTCCATTAAAATGTGATATCTAATGCTTTTAAGCATTGTTTACTGTCTCATGATTTTTTGGCTAGTAGGCGGCCATTTCATGTCTGTTCTTTTACTTTTTTACCACAATTTAAAAAGTAGAGGAGCTATTTTGTTCATATTTCATACCTTATATGTGTGTATACTCATGAGTATAACACATTGTCGTAGGACACTTTGGATAGTAGGTGACCATTTTAAAAAATGACCGGCGTTCTCATTACGTGTGTTATTCTACATGTTTTGTAAAATGACAGCCATGGTTGTTTGATGGCGGTTGCTACACTTTGGCGATGCTGTAATCTAGTTGTAATATTTTGTCGGATGATCTATGACAATTGTCGATAAATCAAAATATTGAAAAGCCAATTCTGCACATCTTAATCTGTGATTTCGATTTAAATTGTATAAAGAGATAACACGATTAACACTAGAAATGGAATTAACCCGTCTCTGTTTTAGTTGGGATTTGTATGGAGGTTATCCACAAGGGATCGGTGGCCTTCCAGCAGACTGGATATATGTAAGGCAAACCAGTAGACCATTTGACCGGTGGCAAATAAAGACTGTAAGTAGTTAAGATACCAAAATGCATTAAATATGCATTCCGATCTACCAGTTCCCTTTCTTAACAGAGTATAGTAGTGGGAGTAAATATACAACGACTCATTTTATGCATCCGATCTATAAGACCCGTTCTTATTTATGCAGAGATTCTAGCTTATGCTAACACAATGCATTTATGCATTATGTTGTATAAGACACTTTTTAGTTTTGCGAGAGTCTGGGAAAGGAGTTAATTTGAGATCTTTCTTAGGTATACATTTAATACACTCAAATGAAAGGCAATTTGAAGTATATTGTACATTATGTATCGTTTTTTGATTCGGGCCTCATGAAATCAAAAATGGCCACCTGATGTGGAATTTCGCAATTACTTTCTGATCTCTTCAAAGCATGCCTATATTTTACTCAAATTGAAGGAATTTTAGAGTAGGTCACAATTATGTTTTACTGAATCGTACCTTATAAATTTCAAAATGGCTACCGAGAGCAGGAATTCGCTAATAATTTACGATTTTTGCCTTTTGCACCAAATGCTTAAATCGGTGAAAATTCTGATATATCTCTAATGTAATGTATATTATGACATATATAGATTCATGATTACAATGCTCATTGGGATTGCTACTTCGTGGAGTTGTCGATTTCTAGTTTGTATTCAGTTTACGTTTTTGCACACTTTGCAAGTCTGCATGTATATCATTAAACGTTAACTTCATCCAATCCGCAAAAAAGTTAATCTAACGTTTAACTGATTTTTCGTGTTACTTGTGTTACTTGTGTGTACATTTAAATTTATTGTAACTTTTCATCATCAGTTATTTGTATAAACTTTTGCCATTACGACTTACATTTAACGAAAAACAACTGATATTGTGGAAAACCACAAACCCTTAAACATTTTCTCTTTCACTTTGATATTTGCTCACCTTACAAAGACATGGATTTAAGGTCAAAATTGCTTAACTAGACATCTTCAGCAATACTCTTTCTCAAACTGATTTCATAACTATGTTAAAAATAGGAATTCCCAAGCTAAACATCAATGTAAATTCCAAAATATCACTTTTTATTGTTAAGACAAGAGCTAATTTCCTCATTTTTGTTCATCTCTGGTATCGTATAGTCCCGTCACACTCGGCCTAGTCCAAAACCCTGCCTGCTTTGTCACCCCTACTTCCACCTGTCCCTTTATTGTTATTTAATGCCATTCTGGCGATTTGAAAATTTATACATGATTGTTTTTGTAACAATAAAAAAACGAAAAACGGTATTCATCGGTTGTCTTATCTGATAAGCATGGCCGTTGGACACCGCCAGATATACCATGACACGTGACCCGGTTTTGACCAATCATACAGTTGCTAGCTAGACAGTGATATAATTATTGTCTTTTTTCAGATATTTATGAAGGACATCTGTCATAATAAACTATACGAGTACTACTGCAATGGTTGCTGGGTCTCGAACGATCCAAATGGTGGGACATGGATTAAAAGGACAATCCCATAGTTCAGTCACATCAATGTGGCTAATGTTATCAAGAGCACAAGTTAATTATTAAAATGTAAATTAAAATACATTTTGATATACAGTGTGTCCCAAAAAAAGGAAACCAGCAATAGATTGCTTATTTCTCAAATATGAATAATAATAGGAAAATTTCACAGCTACCATCTGATAGGTTATGATGTCCTTTTTCTTATGATACCAAAGGTGTTTATTTTTCTTCACGGATGACTGAGTTCTAAGAGATTTAAGTGACCATGTCAGAAATTGGTTTGTGCCACTTTTTCTGTCATGAATGGCTGAACAATGAGGGATTAAAATGGCTATGCAAGACCATGTCCTATTCTTCCTTTGGGGTTATCTCAAGGGTAAAGTCTTCACAACACCACCAAGAGACGTTGATGATCTAAGGGCCAGGATTGTCGCAGCAGTGGAGTATCTAAGGGGACAGAGAGACATCATCAGGGATGCAGTACGTGCGATGAGATCAAGGGCAGACATTTGCATTGAAAGGAATGGGGGTCATGTTGAAGGACACTGGGGTTAAAACAACTTTGAATGGACATTGGGATTTAAAAGGGGTGTTAAATATGATATGTGTAATTTTAATTGGAATAAATGAGTAAAAGAGTGATATCCTGATGTTTGTTGTTACTTATCACTTTGTTATGATGGTGAAATTGACTTGGCTGAAAGTGGTACAAACTCATTTCTGACATGGTCACTTAAATCCCTTATAACTCAGTCATCCGTGAAGGAAAATAGACAACTTTGGTATCATAAGAAAGAGGACATCATAATCTATCAGACAGTAGCTGTGAAATTTTCCTATCAGTATTCATATTTGAGAAATAAGCAATCTATTGCTGGTTTCCTTTTTTTTGGGACACCCTGTATATTAGAATCAAGTACTTCCTTCACAATAATCAATTTCTAATATCAAGTTCAAAGCTTTACCAATTAATGTCTTGTTAAACTTTAAATCTAATTCCAAGATCTATTTAGTTTGTAAATTTGCACGTTCTTCAGTGTCACAAAAAGAAATAGATACATTAACATTTAATGTACATGATTGATAAAAAATAAAACAAATTTGTCTTGCAATATTAGTTTATGTTATCTGAACAGGATCCGTGTTGTTCATGTTACTAATAATAGTTTCCAGAAAGGTTGGATACGGTAGGAATCCAGGTGATGAACGTTAAATTACGATGCCCCCCTTATATTCTAACGACTATAGTCAATTGAAAACAAGTGAGATTGAGTAATTTTGACTGTATCGTCAAAACCCCCAATCCTAAACCTTGGCTGATTTTTGTAATACAGTGGTATGGGAAGTGAAAGTGTATCCAGTAGCGATACTTGATTCTGTTCCCCTAAGACATGCCCAGATTAATCGAAGCCTCGATCCCGCTCTTGGGAGTAACATCCATTTAGAATTGATATTTCAATGGAGAATTCATAAGTCAAACACGTTTTCCTCAAATGCTCTGCGCAGTATACCTTTCAATTATGCCCCACATCACTTGACAGGATTTTTCGATTTTCTAGTTTCTAATCAATGATGTAACCCTGGTAAAAGCGACAGCTACTGTTGACTGAATATTAGATATGTGAAATCATTAACATGACCCACGTAATTCACAACATCACTGGTCAGTATCAAGGGAAAGTTAAGGCCGTAACACCCGCACTCAAAATGGCGGACAGGATGTATTGATTGTGACATTTTAAGTTTTTATGGAATTATTAAAACGACTTCATGGTTCACGTAATGCATTTGATATTTGTACTAGGCCACGTTTATATTACATGGGAACTCCGGAGTATGATCATTTGTTCATATATCGTGCATAGGCACCACAATTCAACGATATCTTTCACCACTAACGGGAAAGTTACTGGAAATGTATGCTACAGTAAAGGTCATGAAAGCTAAATTCCAGTATCCTTATATGTTAGAACTTAATTTGTTAATCCTTTTGTGGAAATAAGAACCATCAGCTTGTTGTGATAACTCATTTCCCGTGTTAAACGCGATTGAGAGTCTCAGAAATCCCCGACGAAAAAATTATATTGAGCATATCATGACGTCACAGGTTTTAATGCCAACAAAAATATGAACCTGGGGCCTGGCTGTCCTGGTGAAATCACAAATAAATATTGGGTTATACTAAAACATAGTGACTGCCTAATTCCAAGCAATAGTGTAAATGATATCCCCTTGGGAATATCCTCTAAAATGTACTGCGGCTTCGGGAATAATACGTTTTAGAGGATATTCCTCGGGGAAATGATTTACACTATCGCCCTCGATGACAGTCACTATTTGTATAATAATATATTGTATAAGTTGGTATTCCTTTTAAATAATACGAGAATAATATTATTAAATCAAAAAAAATCTTTGAAAATACTTATTATATTTTTTCCGCTATAATACAAGAAATAATTGCCTACTATACAGGAAAAAATGTTTTATATGATTCCCTCTTAAAGCAACTTATCTAGCAGTATATTAAATCTTTTATTCTATATAATCTTCACCTTTTTACCAAGTGCGTTCAATCAATATAAGATTAGCGTGCCTAGAATGTTAAATGTGAATACAATGTGAACAATGATAAATGATAGAAAAATACAGTTTGACAATGGGCCACTCTTAAAATTGCCTAAAACATATTATTGGGTTGAATTTCAAAAAGTGGATAAGTATGATAACACTGTTATCTTAATTTTTCATAAGAATTAAACTCACGTTTATACATTTACCAAATTACCAATTCACCAATTTCAACGGGTAATTTATGATAACACTTAAAATGTCAGATGATTCTTTAACTGTATTAAATAACTGTCGAACACCTCGGTATGAGAAAACCACCGTGTGTCAGATCTTGACCACCGTAAGACAGCAGACCCTTTTCTACCAAGTCATCCTGGAATCGATTGTTACGTTTATCCGAATGCACATAATAAACAATCATCGAGCCAGAATTGCATAATGCCACAGCACATTTCATCATGTTGGGGAGCTTTTCGGGCTGGTCGTAGTAAACTGGTACGGTGGACAAGTTTATACCATCAAACTTTCTTAAATTCGGCTTAGATACACTATCAGATATGTGATCAACGATATCTCCTTCAACCCATTTTATTCTGTCTAAACGATCCTTTATTAGTTCAAAATTGCCCTCTCTGAGATAGGCGGGCAATTGGCATATTGTCAAATCACCAGTCATATATGATTCCAACATATGACTTCTATTATTTGGGACATTGTTACACACATGGTTAAACGTGTTAAGAAGCAGTGTGTCAAATTCCTGATCATCCTCGAGTACATTCCTCATTATGGAAAAACACTCAAAATTCAACAGGTTCCTGAAAACCGCTCTCCATTGTGACGTTTCTCGAAGACCTTTGTAGACACGACGCTGGGTCTCCATATCGTCACCTAATTCTAGGAATTGTCGGATCGTTGCCTTATCCTGCTCTGTTGGATAAAACGCGTTAAACGAGTTGATGAATGCATTTTCAAATTCTCCGCAATACAGAATACCATCTTTAATCAAATTCTTTGAACGGTCCCAGAATTCAATTGAATCGGCGTCAAGAGCAGATCGTATATCTTCATAGATTTGCATTCTTTCCTTTGATGGGGTCAGCTCTCTGTTGATGCCTATAAACGTGCAAAATTCTTCTCTAGATAAAAGCTTCATGCCAACTGCTTGTAGTTTGGACATGCGCAGTTGAGAGGCACTGATATCTAGTGCAACGACTTCTTCCGGGTCAGCAAGAAGTTTAGAAATGGCATGCGCTCCGCTTGCAGCAACTGTTAGAATTCTATCACCAGAATTTATATTCATCATCGCGTTGATCTTACGCATGTCGACGTATGTCTATAATAAAAAAATATGCAAAAATATAAAATCAAATGATCAATAATTTGGGTAATACCTCGTGTTTATTTATCACGTGACAGTACTTTTAGTTTTATCTTTCTTGCCGAGTTCTGAAACCGTTTTTGGTCTTTTCCTGTTGGCACTTGCGCTTACATATTCTGTAAGAAAAAGAATCGTGTCAAAATATTTGTCTTCTTCGAATAACATCTGCTTTTAATTTTGTTGTCATCACAGGTCTATGACTATGGGCTATGGCACATTTTGATAATCCAACCAAACAAATAATGTCGTTTAGCGATTTACCAGGATCATTTGAAGTGGTGTTGGCATGTCTTATTTACTCACAATGTTTTCAAATTAAGTACAAACACCTACGTGAGATTTTGCAGGTCATGGTCATCTCTCATTTCTTATATACAGTTGAACGATATTTCCTTGAAAGTGTAATGGTTATGTTTTCAGACATAGCTGGGCAAGGTGTGTCCAATTCGAACAAATCAGAACACATTATTTCACGTAAGTGCATTAGGATATATAACCAATAACACATTTGTTGTCAAAACAGACGCGGTAAATCTAACCTTGTATTCGTAAATGTAACTAACGCCTATCGGCTACCGGATCAACCTACTTTTTATGGCCAACTTATTTAACGCTAGTGTGTACAATACTCTTCGATACGCCCATATAAACTGAAATTAGTTGTAGTATATCATTGCAGAGTGTATATCTTTACTGACCAATATTTCACTTATACGCCTCAAAGTATGAATCAGACCTACAATATGCGGTGAAAACTTATTCTTCTGTCAGTAACCAGTCATTGACATTTTACCTAACAGTGTATTGTGCTGTGCTCACAGCAAATATATTACGGCAGACGCAAATTAAAGTAAGGTCGGCGTGCGGGGACCGCGGAATAATAAATGTTATTACTCAGAATTATGATTTCTACGATTACCATGCGGCCTAAAAAAACTGGATACGTTGCACGACAAATGTGACTAAATTGTTACTAATAATACTAGATTAAATCGTTACCTTACCCCACTGAAATTTATTTTGTCTGTTTTTGTTTCATCAGAAAGTTCATTATTTTGCCCACCAGAGAAATACCGTAACGTACTCCTAACCAAATGTCGCACTTTGGGCAATTGCCATACTTTTGTTGGCCACTGCAATATTTTCGCCATCATTCTTCACTTAATGTTAAAGCATTCGACTGACAGAGACGCTAGCTCGGTACTGATTTTGTAGTGTAGTTTTGTTATGATATACCGGGTGTCACAAAAATAAGCCACATTTTGACAAGTATTATCTCGGCAACTGATAAACCAAATTCAATTAGAAGTTCTACAAAGCAGCCCAAGATTATCGGTAGCAAGGTATACAAATATGAAGAAGATCAAGTAAAGGTTATGTGAGTACGAAGAAATTCAAAATAGCATGTAATAATAGCCCATACCGGAGAAACGAATTTAGAATTTTATAGCGAAATGGGAAGCAATTTGACAAGTAATTTCTCAGAAATGTATAAGCCAAATTCTTTGAAACTTTACCCGAGGCACTTTAGGGTATCTTCTGCTCGTACGTAAGAGATTGATCTCATATTATGCGTGTATTTTGAATTAAAGAGACTCTATTGAGACTTCTATGTGACATATTTTCTTTATTCCTTTTTGTTTTGAATTTTTAACACCATAACATTAACTAACTACTCAATATGCAACTTTTCACCACGTAGAATTTTAAAATATTAAGTTTGAAAATTCCATTTTTATAATAGAGCTCAATGGGAAAAACGACACAATTTGAATTATTTTCAAACGTAGCGGTGCGATTTTCTTGAAATTGACAGATATAATAAATATTGGTAATGCCAAATGTTTGAAGAAGAATGAAGAAAATTCACCGTCCTGGTTACTCGAAATATAGAAAAATGTAAAATAATCATAAAAACCTGTAAAAATAGATTGAAGGGGGTGATATTAATTTTTAATGTGCTTCTCACTACTACAGGGAAACCATAGTTTTGGTAATGGTTTACTAATTTTAAAAGCATATCTTCCAGCACAAGCACGAGTGATACAATAAGTGAGTTATCATTAATTGGAATGGTATTATTGTATTCCTCAGCAATGACGACAAATAGGTAAAATCGATCATATCACATACTAGTTCTTACCATCAGATCGATCGATTATAATGCATTTTAAACAATATGGCAATAGATCTTCAAATTCAAGAATTGAGCTAAATTGTAAGATAATAAGTAAATTACTAATCCTTTATAACTGTATAATCCCCTTCTCTGAATCATACTGAATTATAATATTTTGATATGCTTATTTTAGCTGCTGTAGTTTTGGTCACTTGATGAGATATTCAGTAACATGCTAAATAATCACTCGTAATAAGCAATATGAATTCTTCAACACAATCATTTTCAACAGCTTTTCAACACAATCATGAATTTAGTGATCTGACCCTTAAAATACTTTTCAGGGGGAATAGTTTGTCCACCTGTAGACGTGTAGCATCTTTTTCTAGCCATATTTTCCTACTAGGCCTGCTGGAATACATATTTCAGTGTGCAAGTTTAGCATTGTTTTCCCATTGATTATTTGAGTTCTCACGTCAATATTATGTGGAAATAAAAATGATGAGATGTCAAAAAGAGTAGTTTACTTTATTGTAAGCAGCTTTATTGTAAAGTTAAAATAAGGTTTGGGCAGGAAGGGAACGGGTGAAATCCTTGGGATACATGAATTGATTAATTATACGAAACATATTCATGTATCTACAATTTAGGGTAACCCTGTGTTTTATTCTACTGGGACTGGTTATACCGGTGCAAAATATTACAAAAATATTATTTACTTATTATCATAATTCAATGTGAAAATATCAGTCTTATCTTCACATTTGTCTATAATAATTTGCCTGTAAGGTTGTGCAAGCCGTCTTTTACGGTGATTGTATAAGATGTTGATTTTGCAAAGCTCTTATGGGCTAATTCTACAATATGTACTGTAACATATATGTAAGGGTGCCAGTATGTAGTCCAGTATATAGTAAACAAAGGAGTATTTTGGTCAACTCAATACATCTGATAAACACAACATGAAGTGTTTTCTATGCAATGATTATATACAGGCACTTATTCGTTGTTACTGCGAATTTCAAAAGCCTCCAAATTGTGTGGAATAGAGCATGCAATGTTTTTCAGTTTCAAGCAGGTTTTAGTACATTCTGACCAATTATATTTTCAGACTTATTCATTTCATGATTATGTGATACTGACCTACTTATCTGCCTAGCATGTCTTTAAAGACAGTATGTCAAAATAACCAATATCAATGTAAAAGTCACTTATTAATCCAAGCTAAAATACTATTCCGTATTTATTCTAACAATATCACCTCCAATGAATTTGAGAATGAATTGGATTTTGGATATTTGGGATGAATGAAAAGAATGAATCAGACATCACTCGGCTTCCATCGAACGCAGGGAAGACCGAGCGTGCGTAGTTGATAGCTGGTACAAACATTATAGAAGTCTCATATCAGAACTCCGATATGGGAATTTTTGACATACTATTTTGAATTTGTTCGTTCTCACAGAATATTCATTTGATCTTTTTTACATTTTAACAACTTGTTTAAAATACTCTAAGGCTACTTTATGCAAATTTTCATTTAATTTAAATCATCAGTTGCCGAGAAAATACTTGTAAAAAAGTGGCCCATTTTTGGGACACCTGATATATTAATCATTAACGCTACTTTGGGTACAGAAAAGGGCATCGACCTTCATAAGATGTATAAATTATCTCTATACTTACTGCAATTTATCATGAGGAGATAAAAACATGTGTACTGTTAGGATTTTGGCTGCAGTTGACCAGCAAAAATATGCCAACGGTGTATGTAGATCGTGATATTTGTAGCTTGGGGACAAAATTTAAACGATTTATCTCAATTCAAGATTAATTTAATTGTATTATGATTTTTAGTACATATTATTTACATGTTATAAACGTTTGAATGTCACTTTTACACTGTTAAAGTTTTGTAGAAAGTAGAAAGCTTACTTTATATCGTGCTTAACAATTGAAGTTGCTTATAAAATCATAACATGTACAATTACTTCAAATGTTCGAACAAATCCTTGTAGTTTCTAGACGACTAAACAACATATAGTCCTTGGTATGAAATCTCAATGACGTCTGATAAAGGAGCTAGTAGCACACTATAGCGCAGCGATATTTGACCTTACATTAACATACCTACATATGTTCCCTAATAATTTTTATTATAACCGTTTAATAACAGGATCTTAAGAGGTTCTGGACAAATCATTTGATTCTGGACTTGACATATTTTTTTTCCAACGAAATCACATCCAAGGGTTGAATTTTTATTGGATATTTAGAGAGCGAGTCCTGTATTGATTTCAATAAAAAGGTTAAAATAGAACGCTATTTGAGAGTTAATCTTATACTTTCATTACATTGATAAATTAAGGCAAATTCTGAAAAATTTTAAAGTGCATTTTTTATGAAATATTATCCAAGTATTTAGATGAAACGGTCTTATTTAAATACAAATCATAACATGATGATATTTTTTTCATAAAATATTTCTTCAAGAAATTCAATTGAAGGCTCAAGATAAAACGAGCTAATTTAGGTGAAAACCCTTACATGATGATGTGTTTTCATGACTTCTTTCATAAAATTCCATCAAGGGGTGAAAATAAAATGATCGAATTTAAGTGATTTAAGGATCACGAGGATAGGTTTTATTGGATATTTTCTATGAAATCCCATCCAGTGGTCAAGGTAAAATTTTTATTTGGTATATTTGGTCACGTGTTCGAGAGATCCATATAAGGCCCATAGAACCATATAGGAACGTCATTTTGAATGTCACGTGATAAATCCATATAAGGCTTTTAGAACCATGTGGGGAAAGATGAGGGGAAACCCCTGACACCTGTTCACGATTTTATCCGAATGTTCATCGGATCATTTCGGTTTTTATGCACTTCATTATTTTACCGAAGTTTGCCGATTCGATTCGTCGTATTTCGGAATATTGGGGACAATTTTATACTCCATTGGGAGTATTTTTAATCTACTTCTTATTACGAAGATTCCCGAACCTTGTTCGGATTAATCCGGATTTTCTGACCTACTTCATCTACCGAGATTTAACGAGTTTACATTCGGCTCATTTCGGAATCCTGGTGACAATTTTATACTCCATTGGAGTATTTTTGATCTACTTCTCTGGATTTTTGATCTACTTCTTATGACGAAGATTCCCGAATCAGTTCGGATTAATCCGGATTTTCTGACCTACTTTATCTACCGAGATTTAACGAGTTAACATTCGTCTCATTTCGGAATCCTGGTGACAATTTTATACTCCATTAGAGTATTTTTGATCTACTTTTTCTGGATTTTTCCCTACTTATTATAAGTTGACAGCAAGCAAATCAAAAAGTTCGCCATGAACGGGTTTCGATCGACTAACCTAGAGAGTGGAAGCTACACACGCTAGCCATGAGGCTAACGTTCACCTGTATGAGATGATAAAAGTATCATATATTCATACCGAGCGTCAATTTAGAATGATCTTCGCTTTTGACTCCACTTAGTCAGTTGTATCCAGAATAGGTGAACGCCTATGGTGTTAGTGAATAACCAAATCCCAGGCGAGTGGTTCGTATCCCACCGTGATATGTTATTTTTGCTTTATTAATACGACAGAAAGGAGCAAGGTGTAGGTTTGAAAACAAGACGTAAGTTTATTTCAATACAGTTTTAGAAACATTAACCTCTGATAATTGAAGGATTTCCACTTCTGAAGCGCGACTAGATCTAAGAAGTTCATTAATCAAGACAGTGTAAACCTTTTAGATATATGTTAGACAATGTACACGCCCCGTATGGAATCAACTAAATGTTACATTTTGGATTTCATTGAGATCCTGTCATAGTCCTAAAATTTATTTTTCTGGAACATCATCTTTTCAACACTGATACAAATTTCCCTGACATTTCGATGACATGTCTACAGTTTCAAAATTCCCGGACTCTTTGGACCTTTTTTACCTTATTTTAAAATTCTCTGACATTTCAGGCACTTGGAAAATTAAATCAAAACCCTGACATTTCCAGGTGTGTACGAACGCTGGAATTATTCTTAAAATATCCTTCAAACAAAAGGGGAAAATGCTATGCACAAATACTCTAATTTAGTTTGTATTGTAATACGTTGTATTACATTGCATTGCATTGTATTGTGTATTTATTTGAGTGTCCGTTGACGGTAAAGAAGGCATTTAAAAGTTATTTGTGAAACTTAATAAACTTAATAAACAATACTTTAACAGTATTCTGTTATGGCAAAGTATATTTCATTTTTTCTCTTGTTCTCTACAATCTGCGTTGAGGACACTGAAGCATATGTCTGTATTTTGTTGGTGGGGAACAGCGTATCCTATCGTTCACGGAGCAAATTCAACTCTCGTTCACGAGTATCTTGTTTTTGGGCTCTTGTCCCAAAGATAACGATTGTATAAGGTTGCATAATCAGGATTATGAGCTTTCATGTTCTCATAGTTACATCTGTTGTTTTGTATACAATTACGCAAGCTCATCATCGATAGATAGCCGTCTCCCCATGCCAAAAATGTTTTGTAAAATATTTCGTATTTATTTAACAAATTCTTTAGAAGCTTACACATGTTCTTGGGATATAATTGAAATAGTGCAATGAAAACATTACGTAGTACAGAAAACTTGGAAATTCTCTTAACGCATTGCTGATTTGCTGCTGACTTTTGTTAAGTGATCATATTGAATGGTGTATATTCAAGTTTCATCCCTGTAAGTATATTAAGGCCATGCATAGGCGTAGCCAGGAAGTGCGATGGGTGCGATGATCGCACCTCCACCCCCCATTATCAATAAAATACAACGATGAGAAAGGGGTTTTAAAATGCTTTTTATTTGAAGCTTCTAGCTCAATTTTGAAGGAAGTTGCGTCAATTTTTGGAAAAAATGAGCCATGCGATGCTGTAATGAATACTTTTAACATGAAAATATTCTCTTGGTCTAGCATGTATGCGGCAACATTGAAGTTGTTTTGAAGTGTATGTGGCTCTTTTTTATTTTAAGATGACATTATTGTATTTCAAATTTAACATGTTCTGTTTACATTCTAAGACAATTTGATGCGGTTCGATCGATAGCGATGAATTATGTGATGTCACCGTGACCAGCTGGCCAGTTATTGCCTCTAATCATTATCAGTATATGAAGCTTTGCTGTAGGTATATACTGGGGCTTGGCCCCCCAGGGCTGAAATACTTTATCCCATCCTTGGATGTACTGTATTTAAGGTACAGTTGTTTTCACCAGTGGGCAGGTTATAAGGGTTAGTTATGGGAGGTTTTAGGAGTGGGATATATCCCGATGGATATATAAAATGTCTGAACGAGGGCTCGGAGGGTCCGAGATAAAGTATACAAATTTCCCGAAGGATATACCTCGTGTTCAAAATCGATCATCACATAACTAATCAATCCTATGACGACTGAGTATTCACTTTTTAGTACGCCTATTTCCAGGTTTGTCAGTTACGTATTCTTATTCTTATTATTTTCGAGAAATGATATTTTGTCTCAGACCCTCCAGTCCCATCGTGACATATCTATATTTTGGATGAACGTGAAAATCCAGTCATTTGCAAAAAGATGGACATCATGAATTTCTACAGATGAACTCTCAAACAAACTACTGTATAAACAATTAGCAAATGGGTTAAATAGATCATTCTACACTAAGTATGGTCAGGACCTCTATAAATATGTTGGAGCTAATGTGCATATAAGGATGCTATAATTATGTCTAGTAATCTGGTGTCAATTAAGACATTTATTGTAACAACAATTCAATAATATCAACTTTCCATATCTATCTGGCCGATACGGACTTTTGAATGTACTTCATACAGGCCCGTAAACAGGGGGGGGGGGGGGTCGATGGATTCAAGCGAACCCCATCCCGCCACTGGCCAAAAAATCTTTCAAAACCATGTAGCTTTTTACCATTTTAATTTACACGATTTACACTTTCTAGGTGATTTTGGCTATTTTTTGACCAAAATTGTCAAAAGTGACCCCCCTGGAATTTTCAAAAAGTGATTCCCCCTTGGAATTTTCAAAAAGTGGCAAATCCTGGCTACGGGCCTGTCATATGATGATCAAACTTGTCCATTGTCATCCTGTTTAGGGATACATTTTGCACAGGGTGTCAGTTTTCTTTGTGACCCCCCTCTCGGCCGCCAATATCGGGGAAGTCACCCACACAAGCAGTAGAGTATTAAATTAAAGGCTCTCCGTTTGACATGAATTAGACGTTGCTACAAATACGTTCCTTATCTGCCCCAAATATGCAATTTCTTAGCCAGTAGTCCAGATTGTAACCCTGCCATCAAAAGTTGATGGAATCTGAATCTCCAGCGATGGATCACATGCTATTCTATTGAAGAAAGGTTTGTGGTTAATGGAGATAAAAACGGACATATGCTAAAATCTGTTAGAGGGGGTCACAACGAAAATTGACACTCTGATACTCGTTATAAAACCATGTCGTCCGTTCTTTTGTTTTATATTTCTAAATATGTTTAATGTTCAGTCATATTTTGTCAAACAAAAAATATATAATGCCTGATATCCATCTAGTTGGCTCTCGGTATTCCAACTCAAACTACTGTCTCCAAGTAATCACCAAGGAATTTGTCCAGTTCTTGTTTCGTGCATGAATATTTCCATGTTTTGGGTCGATATAAAGCAGCAGCAGTAGAATAAACACAGATAGATTAGCCTGCCATCTTTATTTAATCACTATAATTCTCTGACATCAGTAACGGACTATAAATTAAAACATGCATTCAAAAGGTTGAATTTATCTTTTGATCACTTCTAGCCTTATTTTCAAGAACAGGTCCATTTAACAGACTATTGATCCACTTAGACTTTTCCCAAAAAACTCATTCTTCCATTTACTTTTAAAACCAATTGGAAGTTGTAGAATATTTGTCACCTAACGTTTATACATTTATCAAATTACCAATTCACCAATTTCAACATGTAATTCACGATGACACTTAAATGTCGGATCCTTTAACCGTATTAAATAACTGTCGAACACCTTGGTATGATAAAACCACCGTGTGACAGATCTTGACCACCGTAAGACAGCAGACCCTTTTCTACCAAGTCATCCTGGAATCGATTGTTACGTTTATCCGAATGCACATAATATACAATCATCGAGCCAGGATTGCATAATGTCACAGCACATTTCATCATGTTGGGGAGCTTTTCGGGCTGTTCGTAGTAAACTGGTACGGTGGACAAGTTTATACCATCAAACTTTCTTAAGTTCGGCTTAGATACAGAATCAGATATGTGATCAACGATATCTCCTTCAACCCATTTTATTCTGTCTAAACGATCCTTTATTAGTTCAAAATTGCCCTCTCTGAGATAGGCGGGCAATTGGCATATTGTCAAATCACCAGTCATAAATGATTCCAACATATGACTTCTATTATTTGGGACATTGTTACACACATGGTTAAACATGTTGAGAACCAGTCTGTCCAATTCCTGATCATCCTCGAGTACATTACTCATCATGGAAAAACACTCAAAATTCAAAAGGTTCCTGAAAACCGCCCTCCATTGTGACGTTTCTCGAAGACCTTTGTAGACACGACGCTGGGTCTCCATATCGTCACCTAATTCTAGAAATTGTCGGATCGTTGCCTTATCCTGCTTTGTTGGATACAACGCGTTAAACGAGTTGATGTATGCTCTATCGAATTCTCCGCAATACAGAATACCATCTTCAATCAAATTCTTTGAACGGTCCCAGAATTCAATGGAATCGGCGTCAAGAGCAGATCGTATATCTTCATAGATTTGCATTCTTTCCGTTGATGGGGTCCGCTCTCTGTCGATGCCTATAAGCGTGCAGAATTCTTCTCTAGATAAAAGCTTCATGCCAACTGCTTGTAGTTTGGACATGTGCAGTTGAGGGACACTGATATCTATTGCAACGACTTCTTCTGGGTCAGCAAGAAGTTTAGAAATGGCATGCGCTCCGCTTGCAGCAACGGTTAGAATTCTATCACCAGACTTTATATTCATCATCCTGTTAATCTTACACATGTTGACATATGTCTATAATAAAAAAAATATGCAACAATATAAAATCTATTGATCAATTATTTGGGTAATAGCTCGTGTTTATTTATCATGTGACAGTACTCTTAGTTTTATCTTTCTTGCCGTGTTCTGAAACCGTTTTTGGTCTTATCCCGTTGGCACTTGCGCTTACTTATTCTGTAAGAATAAGCATCAAATAAGCATCGTGTCAAAATATCTGGAGAACAATCTTCGAAAAACATCCGTTTTTTTAATTTGGTTGTCATCACAGGTCTATGACTATGGGCTATGGCACATTTTGATAATCCAACCAAACAAATAATGCCGTTTAGCGATTTACCAGGATCATTTGAAGTGGTATTGGCATGTCTTATTTACTCACAATGTTTTCAAATTAAGTTCAAACACCTACGTGAGATTTTGCAGGTCAAGAAAATCTCATTTCTGATGAACAGTTCAGTCGATATGTTATGACATGCGCAAACCTCTATTTAGTGATATTTTCATTTCAAATATGTTCGCAAATCCGATGTCTGACAACCCTTACAAAGAATCTAGGTAGTGTACATTTTTACCTCCTGTGAAATAACAAGTGGAATTTGGTAGTTGTTTTGTGCTTTATTATCATTCTGTATCGTAATTCTATGTGATGTGGTGTTAACATGTCAGCAGAAATACATATGCATACAATAATCGAGTGAATTAGAAAAACCGATTTTTCGAAAACCCGTCTCCTGCTAAGAGTGTGAAAACTTGTATTAACATGCTCAAAAGTTCCAATGTGCACATCAATGTCAAGCTAAATCAATGTTGTGTTTAAAATAGGTACCTGATCTACTCAATACAGCTTGTCATTCACGTATACACGCTTAGCAAACACGGCGAAATGATCTGAATCTTGGAATTTCGTTCGAGAGCTAGTAATGTTTGCTCCGGTCTTCGTCATAAGTGTTCATCAGACTTCACGCATGCTCAGGAGAAAACCATCAACCAATAACGTTCACAAATCAACTCTGCGCATGCGCCTTACATGAGTAATGAAATTCGTATTATAAAGGGTCCTAGGTTCGATTCCCACACGAGGCATTGAATTTAGCACACTTTCTTTCAATTTCTTTATCTGGCTTGTTACACTATGCTCGTTAGTTAGGCATTCTCCTGGGGCGCCCTCGGGTCATTACAAATTAGAGCAAATTAATATACAAATACAATATTAACGAGTTGCCATGTTACCATGTTGATACGTATTGGTAATATTATAGTCTAGCCCCCTTGTCAGCTTTGGGGATATAAGTCTAAATATAGGAGGTCAAAATTGTCTCTAATGACACCCCTGTTGTAAATCTTAGCCTCTAACTCCAAAAGAAAACAACAGTTTTTCAATCAGATGGTGTATTTTGTATCATATGATATAAATCCTTAAACGTTGGTATTGTTTTTACCCACCCTGTGCTTTAAAAATCAAATCTTCTCTGAGCTTCTCTGAGGTTTTAATTTTTGAAACAGTTCATTTTGGCAATTGGTGAGGCTCGATTACGCTGGTTACCAAAACGAACGGTTCGTTTTGGTAACAAAATTTCAGAACGTCGAAGGTATGATTTTTCTTTTTTCCATATTTCACGCCCGGTGATCGTACAAAATGGTCTTCAACAAATTTGGAAGATTTATTTTTTCAAGAGAAAATTTACAACTGAATTGCCAAATGAATAGGCGCAGTGCATGGCAAAATATGCTAGGTCTTCTAGTATTTTATTTGAACTGATACCCTTCTAAGATATGAGATCTATTAAAAAAGGCGCATCATCACCAACGTGCAAAAGTCAATGTTTTTGCTATAAATCAGGCAACAATGGTCTACACGACCTGCAATAAATAGGTATAAGGGATGTTATTATCACAACACAAATGACATTGCTCACTTTTTAAAGTTAGTTTCCATGCATTATACAAAAAATAATCGAAATAAATTAATATTGGATGGAGGGGGGGGGGGAGTTATATGTCTTTACGATGGAACAAATTGACAAGAACTCTTGTATTTGAAAAAACTAAACTCAGTACCCCCGTAAGAAACTGGATATTATATTTCTGGAGAATGAAAAATGGGAAAATTTGGAGTTATAAGAATAAATTCAAGTAGCATGTCTTATCATGTCTTATATACACGTAACTCCCCCCTCCATCCACTCTCCCCCCCTCCATCCAATATTGATTTGTTTAGATTATTTTTTGTATAACGCATGGAAACTAACTTTAAAAACTGAGCAATGTTATTAGTATTGTGATAATAACGTCCCTTATACCTATTTATTACAGGTCATGTAGACCATTGTTGCCTGATTTATAGCAAAAACATTGACTTTTGCACGTTGGTGATGATGCGCCTTTTTAAATAGATCTCATATCTTAGAAGGGTATCAGTTCAAATGAAATACTAGAAGACCTAACATATTTTGCTATGCACTGCGCCTATTCATTTGGCAATTCAGTTGTAAATTTTCTCTTAAAAACGTTAGTGATGATGCGCTTTTTTAATAGATCTCACATCTTAGAAGCGTATCAATTCAAAAAAATAGTAGAAGACCTAACATATTTTGCCATGCACTGCGCCTATTCATTTGGCAATTCAGTTGTAAATTTTCTCTTGAAAAAATAAAACTTCGAAATTTGTTGAGTTTTCTTGCAGAAATGCCTACTCCCCCCCTCCATCCATTTTGTACGATCACCGGGCGTGTATTTCACGCGTTACTGGCAGAATCCCAAACGACGTTTTTCCTCACAAACGTGTATCAGCATCACTTGTTTTAGAAAATGTACATGTTTGCGAAAAAAAGCTCCGATGACAACAGAATCGTCGATTTTAAAATTCCTCACTTAAGTTACATAAACGATTTGGGTTAAAAGTAATGTTTATGTAACTAAAGTGAGGAATTAAATCGACGATTCTGTTGTCTTCTGAACTATTTGTTCGCAAATATGTACATTTTCTTAAACATATGATACTGATACACGTTTGTCTTAAAAATGTCGTGGGAATTCTGCCTACAACGTGTGTGACAAGGAAAAAAGAAAAATCGTACCTTCGATGTTCCGACATTTTGTTACCAAAACGAACCTTTTTGGTAATCGAGTGGATCACCAGTGAATATACTATTCGATACGCCCATATAAACTGAAATAAGTTGTGTATATCATTGCAGAGTGTATATCTTTACTGACCTATATTTCACTTATACGCCTCAAAGTATGAATCAATCCTGCTAAATGCGGTGAAAACTTATTCTTCTGTCAGTAACCAATCATTGACCTTTTACCTAACAGTGTATTGTGCTGTGCTTACAGCAAATATATGACAGCAAACCTGACCTAAAAACTGTCTTCAAATATACATAGCCGATCAAAATATTACGGCAGACGCAAATTAACGTTAGCCCGATGTGCGGCCATCTTGGGACCGATCTGCGGTCTGACATCGGCCCGTTGATTTCCACGGCGACTGCAGAATAATAAATGTTATTAGTCAGAGTTATAATTTCTACGAAAAAAACTGGATACGTCGTACGAAGACCATATAGTTTTCCTAAACTCGCTGCAGAAATTCATGATTAAATTGATCTGAGGTCGACGTACGGCCGCCGCACGACAAATGTGACTAAGTTGTTGCTAATAATACTATATTGAACTACCTTACCCCACTGTAATTTATTTTGTCTGTTTTGGTTTCATCAGAAAGTTCATTCTTTTGCCCAGCAGAGAAATACCGTAACGTACTTTTAACCAAATGTTGCACTTTAGGCAATTGCCACACTTTTGTAGGCCACTGCAATATATTCGCCATCATTCTTCACTTTAATGTTAAAACATTCGACTGACAGAGACGCTAGCTCGGTACTGATTTTGTAGTGTAGTTTTGTTATGATATACATGTAATATTAAATATTAACGCTACTTTGGGTACAGAAAAGGGCAAACCGACCTTTATAAGATGTATGAATTCTCTCTAAACGTACTGCAATTTATCATATCGTCTGAGGAGATAAAAACATGTGTAATGTTAGCATTTTGACTGAAGTTTACCAGCCAAAATATGCCAACGGTGTATATGTAGATCGTGATATTTGTAGCTCGGGGACAAAAGATAAACGATTCATTTCGATTTATTCAAGATGAATTTTCATGTGTAATGAAAATTGTGTAAATTCATTGTTTTATGATTTTTATTACATAATATTTACATGTAATAAACGTTTGAATGAGTTTAAGAAAGCACAACTTTGTTACTTTTACACGTTTGAAATTTTGTAGAAAGTAGAAAGCTTACTATATATCGTGCTTAACAAATTGAAATTGCTTATGTTATAATCATAACATGTACAATTACTTCAAATGTTCGAACAAATCCTTGTAGTTCCAAGACGACTCAAGAACATAGGTTAGTTGGAACGAAGAGTCCCGATGCACCCAAAAGATATAAATTCTTAATTTATTTAAAGAATGTTGATGTTAACATTACCATCTGTGGCCCATTTTTTAGAGTGTTTACATACCCCCCTCAAGTCTTTGATTCGCAAGGACTGAAAAAATATACTTTCTCAAAAATTGATTTTTCAGACAGACATTGTTTTGAATAGGATTTATGCGAACCCCTCTGACTGTCTTCTTATATTAATGCTTTCCTGATAAACCGCTTATTAAACAGTTTCGGATCTATATTCTTTATTAATAATGGTAAGCCATTATGAAAACCATTTTACATCTGTATGAATTCTGTATTCATCCTCATTTTGATATCATTTAATACCTTCAAATTAATCTGTTTTTAGCATCCCGTTTGGCATTTGATCTCGATGTTTACATCAAAACTCCGCTTTGAGCTTTTCGGATTTGAAACCAGCCACTTTTCTCCTGATGGCTAAGTGAAATTTTGTGTTTCATGGTAATGGTGTTGGCTTTGTGGATGGTGTTGACACTTTGATATGTTTATGGACTTCGAGAACGAATCGTGTCTGTCAAAACGAGACAATTGTTATCACGGTCATGTCAATATGGGTGGAATGAATAAAACTAAATTAAAGATTATATGTTTTATGTAAAATCCATCTTGAGCCTTGCCAGTCAAAAGGTTGGATTTCTGAAAACGGTCAAATCATTCTGTCTACTTATTTGGACATATACAATTTTCCTAAAGTTAAAATATAAGCTATAAATATAATTTATGACGAATAATAATGGATTTAAAAGCAGTTCAAATGTAAATTAATGTAATAAATGAATATTAATGTAAGCGACATCTTTTATATAATTAACTTATTTGTAATTGAAAACTCTAATGAGTAAAATAGATCTTCGTGATGCGTTTAAATTCATTCCAGTTTGTCAAACAGACTGGGAACTCCTTGGGACAACATGCGATACTACCAATGACACATCGGGTGAAACAGAAACGCGTTATTATGTCGACTTAGTGCAGTGTTCCCCTTTGGTGCTCGTAGCTCACAAAAAATAAGTGTGTCAAAACGGTGCGACAGTGGCGCCACACTACTTGGACGATTACTTTACATGCGGGCCAAAAATAGTGATATTTGCAAAATCAACTTGGATATTATGATGCAGACGTGTCAAGAAATAGGATTTGAAATTTATCCATCAAAACTCGTGAAACGATGCACGTCTATTGGATTTCTTGGAACGTCAGGAAGAGAGCTATCAAACATTAGATCTTATTTCTAATCGGCAGACTTACATTTATTTGCCGTGTAATCCACGCGGGGAAAACATTCCTGAGAAGAATCATAGATCTCTCAACTCGGTTACGGTACCTTCATCACAATAGTCCATGGTATGAAATCTCTAGGACGTCTAATTAGGAGCTGGTAGCACACTATAGAGCAACGATATTTGACCAAACATTAACATACCTACATATGTTACCTAATGATTTATATTATAACTGTTTAATATACTTCCAGCTTTTGGTTGAATTATGCCTGCCATTAACAGAGGTCAAAAAATTACCAAAAAGTAAAATCCAAAGTTTTCACAATTTGGAGTACATAATGCAACATGAAATAATACAAAGTGATCATAAATATATGATTTAGGTTTTTAAGCTATACATTTGAGGTTATTTTTCTTATCAATACCAAAAAAGTATTTAATCAGTGTATCGACGTAGATAAATGCTACAAATAAATCACTTTTATATTTGAATGAAAAATGCTTAAATTATGCTAGTTTTTTCACAAAATGGGTCTTAATACGTTTTGAGATATGGACTTTTATTCAGCGGTGAACATTATCAATAAAGGCCTAATGCTCTTCCTTGACTAATTGGAACTACAGCTGAAATCCCATTTCTCGTAGTTAGATATAGCTCAGTTGCTTATAAAACAAATATGAAGACTTGGTCGAATTCATGAATAACTGAGTATAATCGTTATCGTCCTAAAATTTGATGTGATGATAGCCAGCAGTAACGTCGAGAAGAACTGGAAGGCGTTCGATTGCGTTTGACTCTAATTGATTATTCGACATGCTCTTGGAATATATGGACATTCCAATAACTCTGTAACATTTAATTAGATATAAATCTTACCTATTTGTTATTGTATTATGTTTTATAAAACATGAAAAATAATTTGTTGTTTGACCCTTTGCGAATTTATGGAAAAATTCTCGTAATAAATATATTGAAGGGGGTGATATTCATTTTTTATTTCTTGACCCTTGGGTTTGATTTAATGAAAAAATATCATCATGTAAGGAATTGTATTTAAATAATAAATATTTTGTTCAAAATTGTATACAGTTTTGACCAGAATACTCAATCGCCCGGGTGCCGGCCGATGAATCAGAGCAAATGCGACCCAGGCATTAGGTGGGGTTTTGTTAAAAAATATATGAAAAGACCAGAATCAAATGATTTGTCCAGAACCTTTTAAGACCCTGTTTTGATTTCCTTTGGTTTTGTGATCTGTTTTTCCCCCTCTACTAGTTTGGGAAAACATTTTCGATCAAACGACAAAAATTGTTACTGCCTTACCAAAGAGAACCGACAGATATGTGATGTATCGAAAACTTTCACTCAAGGAGTTGTCAAGATATTGCAATTTATCATCCAACGTATTCTAATATGATTGCTTTTGTATATTTGATAAACAAAGAACTGTGAAAGAAGTATTGCAATGGTATGGATATAATGCGAAGGCCATATGAATAGGCCTATACACCCTGTTATAGCATGACGGTTACGCCACCTCTTAAAACGAGGTTGGACGGCTACGTTCACTGATTTATCCAATAAAATGGCCGCGACAGAAAACTAAGGTTGTCGCATTATTTTCTATATGGCATTGTTATAGAACAGAGATTGGATTAACGCCATTAAATGTTTGTCACTGAATGTACCCTTATTCACAACAGTGACTACTGCTTCATTATAGCAATTTCCTGCAATAACATTACACATTGAAGTAATAAAAGCCCTTTTAATGTTTCATAAGATCATTCATAAATAACATACGCTAGCTACAAACGGGCAGTTTAATATTTTGCTGGTTGTCTAATGTGTTATTTTATTGATAGCTATATTGAACATTGTAGTATAAAACCTTCAGTCCCATAAGAAGTAATCAAGGTGCGCGTTTAGTATTTATGGTCACTTGGCAAGATATCTAACAAAGATGAATTCTCTAACTTTGTTGATATGCATATTTGCTGTTGCAGTCATCCCAGAATTTATCAGAGGACAGAGTAAGTACGGTCTTGTATTTCGTCTGAGGGGTTTGATGGTTTATATATTAAATTAATTTATTAACTCATCTTTACACACACATTTGTGTCACAGGGTCAAATGTGTGTTGATGCAGCAAAAAGTCAAATTGGGAAAAATTTAATTATTATAAAAAAGTAGTCATCTGATTGTAAAAATAGAAACGTCTTAAAGTGTGCGCCAAAGTTTAAAACTGCGCAGCGCTCTCGCTAACCTATTTAAAGAGATAACAAGGTACAGGCTTCAGAGGTAAGTCAGGAAGGTGAACAATCTTCGTCCCATGTTGCTTTCCCGTATAATCGTAAACAGGCAAGTTTCACCATTGAAATTGAAAATTACTATTAGATGTACTTTGTAGATGTTATTAATGAGCTATTTAGTGTATGCATCAATCAAATGGCTCATTTCGAAAATATAAAATGTATTTGTGTTTTGTTTTCCAGGGAATCGTATTCCCATGTAGTACACACATAAATAGTGTACATTAGTACCCCACACAAGTTTTTGATAATAACTTTGACCCGTCATTTGAACACTCTATCCTTGACTATTTGTTATTAAATTTAGCACACATAAACTAGAGGAAATTTCCAACATTGGAAAATTTTTTGTTTTTATTTTACTTCAATAACAATAAAATTACAAGTAATCAAATCAAGGGTGTCATTTATGGGTTTTCCCCCAAATTGACGTCATAAAATCATTCTATGAATTGTTCATTTTAACAATTGACTTTTATCTCATTATCTTATCAATATTCATCTTATTGAATTTCATCTCAAAGCAGTCCTGTATTTATGGTTCTTATGAATAGTTTATTACAAATCCTACATTTGGAGATTGTATACTTGTCCTAGATCTATACTGTCTGATTGTAATTGTCTGGCTATGGTCAAGGTTGTATGGCTTACAGTTTCTTCGGCCAGTTGAAAATGTACTTGTTATGGGCCGATCTTTTTCTTTTCGATTATACTGTCTTAGCGACTTTACTGCCCCACGTTGAAATTACTTACCTTTAATATATATTTATCAAACAGTTCCAATCTGTAACACATGAGTATAATTAAAACTTAAAGTTAGTGATTATTTTTTCTGTTTCAATTCAACTTCCGGCAGGGTCCCCTCA